ATGGCACATTTTCTTGATCCAAGACAAAAAGGATCAATCATTTTTGCACTTGATGAGCAAAGATACGAAAAATCAAGAGTACCGCTACTCAAGCTATAACTGATATGCACCGAAGAAATGTTTGCGAAAGTCCAACATGCATTGAAAACATTACCCAATCATCCAAAAATGATAATTAGTCCGATGAAAAAACTTCAACTGCTGCTGTAAAGAAGCTATATGGGCAAAATAAAATAAAAACACTGAGAAAAATTGTCCGTTAACTTATGCCAAATGCGAGATAGCACGTTATGTCGATGAAGGAGTTGCAAACGAAAACGCAGATATTATTGAATATTGGAAGACTAACCGTACAAGATTACCTTATCTCCGCAGACTAGCAAGAAAGATCTTATGCATCCCTGCATCATCAGCAACCTCGGAACGAGTATTTTCAACTGCTGGAAATGTTTTAACGGAAAGAAGAAATAGTCTTAGCATTGACAATATTGAAATGATGGTTTTCATGAAAGAAAACCTGAAGAAGATGGAAAATATCACTTAGCCGATGTTTGAAGTAGATATCAATAAAAAATAAAAAAATATGTACAAAAAATATACTTTGTTAAACATAATGAATTTTTTTTTCATTGTTATTTTTAACTAAAATTTTTCAATTATTCTGAAAAGTTGATTACAATCAGGTGGCCTGCGGCGAGGATACAGGGACGTACCGAAGAGAATTAAAAAAAAAAAGGGGGGGGGTGAAGTTTGTTTTTTTGCCGATTAAAGTACAAAATTGAAAAAGTTAAGGTAAGTTAAAAAAAGTTAAGTGACTAATATCCTAGTTAAATGAAACGTTTTTTTTTAACGAGGATATTCGTTACTACCGAACGATTATTTTATTCGTACTGCTGAACGATTATTTTATTCAATACTGCTGAACGATAACTGCTGAACGATAACTGCTGAACGATTACGGCTGAACGATACTGCTGAACGATTATTTTATTCGTACAAAGAATAAGCGGGAACGAATATATTTGTTTAACGAATATTCGTTAAGCATTTATTTTTGAACAGTTAATATTTGTTCAGTATTTGTTAAACGGATAAAATGAAAACGAAGAAATATTCGTAACCGTTTAACGAATAAGCTTAAAAAAACTCGTTTATCAAATAACCGTCGCGCTCTAATTAAAATCACCTCCCATTATAATAATAAATTCATCTAAATTTATTTTACGGAAAATATTTATTAAATCAGTATATATGTTTTTTCTTCATTGTTTTAGCTTTCCGGCGTATATATATTTATAAGGCGTATATATATTTATAATGAGATATTTTTTATTATCAATTTGTAAAGCCACATAATTAAAATTCCCGTTAAGATCATTTCCAGAGAAAATCGCCTGTTCATGACGTGTTTTGCATAATATTGCGGTTCCACGCGTTTTAGAAAACCAGGTGAGAAAAAAATAACTAATTTTTTATCATACATGAATTCATTATCCAAATGAGTTTCCTGTATGAGAAAAAAGTCATGGTAATTATTTTTAAATGAGTTAATAATTGTTTTCCTTCTGGTCGCATTTTTCAAACCATGGACGTTTGATATAAAAAAACTTATTTGCTCCATTTTATTTTTAAATTTAAATTTCAATAAAATTAATCTTTAATTTTTTTTTTTAATTTATATATTTTTTTATTTGTTTACTTTCTTAGATCAGGCGATAGACTTTCTAACTGAGTAGATAGATACTAAAACCTTATAAGCACTAAAATCAAAATAAATAATATATCTCTCACAAATTAAATCAGCAAAAAAAAAAGTAAAAACACATACCAACAGCCATTTTCATAAAATAAAATCATTTTTGACATTTTTTTTTTTTTTTTAGTAGCATGTTTTTTTTCTCTTCTTTCGCTTGTTGTAGTTGTCTCAGTTGTATCTTCCTCGTCGTCAGATTCTTGTTTCTTGTTGTTAGTTTCTTTTCCATTTTCTTTCTTTTTTTCTTTATCTGTGTACGTACGGTTTTGTTTTTTTTAAATTTTCATCCCTAAATTGCGTTTTGAAAATCTTCTCAAAGAAGGGTTCCTCCAGAACAGCTTGTGAGTCTTCAGATTGTATGTTTTGCATCCCATGTTCCTCTTTTTCTTTTCTTCTCGCTTCGGATTCTCGCGAATGCAGCTTCATTGTGTTTTTGAGTTTCCCTAACTCTTTGTTTGACTTCTTTGGGAAGATTTATGTCAATTTAATCATCATCTAAAATTAAGAATTTATTAGCATTTTTTTAAAAATAAATAGAGTTTTTATACTCGCCACGTGGTTTGAATGAGATCGTTTTTTCTTTTTTGTTTTCTTTTGTGCTCTTTTCCGCTGGCGCAGTGTTAGCTGTCATATTTGTTTTGCCGTTCGTTTTACATCTTTCTCTCGGGATGTGGGTTCCTTCGCAAATCCGACAAAAGAATTATTTCCGAGCAAAGTTGAGCATTATTTGTTGCCCATTTATTTCAATGTCATGTGGTAAATCTTTTGCAGTTTTTAAAAGTTTAACGCGAAATAAACGTCGTCTGTCATCAATGGTTTTATCAAAGTCGTAAGTGGAATGTTTTATCGACAAAACATTTTCTATGTATGGTTGAATTCGTTCGACTAATTCCTCATCAGTAATTATGGGATCGTATTTTATGGTAATTAAGAAGCATAGTCTTCTCGTTTTTTAAATTAAAAATTACTGGTTTTTTACACTCGGTAATAATTACGTTGGTTCTAGCAATACTGTTTGCATCGTTTATGGTTCGAAGCACTGCTATCCATTGTCCGTCTCTATGATAAGCTAAGTTCTCCAATTTTCCTCGTCCAATTTTTTCACTCATTTTTTCGGATATTTCCTTTGCTCGCTCGCTCACGTAAAATAAATCATGCTTAACGAATCTGCTTGAAACAATTGATTTTATTTCAACCGCCTTAGAGAATGATTAACCTGCTGATGTTATTTTTTTGGATTTTGCCAGAGCATTTGACACAGTACTACATAAAAAATTGTTGCTTAAACTTACAGCTTATGGAATATCCGGTCTGATAATACAATAGATCAACTCTTTCCAGTGCTTCAACTCTTTCCAGTGCTTCAACTCTTTCCAGTGCTTCAACTCTTTCCAGTGCTTCAAACTCTTTCTTTGCTATCAGATTATTATTTAGCTTTTAAGTGGACTCAAAACTTGTAAAAATTTATATTTTGAAATGTACTGTCATGCACTTTGGCTGGAATAAAAAAAAATCACCCCTTTATATCAATGAACAAAAGTTAAACATAACAGAATCTGAAAGTGATCTTGGAGTAATTTTCTCAAGCAATCTGAAATAGAAAAATCATATAATAAAATGAGTAGGCAAAGCCAACCAAATGTTGGGTTGGATTAGAAAATGCTTTTTTTGTTTAGATATTAGACTGCTGAGAATACTTTATGTTTCAACTATCAAGTATGATAAAAATCAACTATGAGAATTGTCTAAAAGCTCTCAACTTGACTACCTAGATATGATTCAACTTTTTAAATTCTTCAACGGTTTTAAAACAATTTGAGTTTGTTGAATACAAATTTTTTGATTTGGAAACAGTCAAAAAAATTAGTATTCAACAAACTCAAATTAAAAGTCACTGCTTTAAATATGTCAAAGAAATCACTAAGCAAGCATTCATGAAAACTTTTTATTTAATAGATCGGCCAATTTATGGAATAGCTTGCCAAGCGAGTTGGTTAAAGCACAATCAGTTAACAGCTTTAAAGCAGGTCTTGATTAACAGCTTTAAAGCAGGTCTTGATTAACAGCTTTAAAGCAGGTCTTGATTACTATGAGCAGCAATCAAGCAAATCGGCTGTCATAGTGTGTTAATACCACACTAACAGGCTCACACCAGTTACAACAATTACTAATACTAATACTATACTAATATGATATATATATATATATATGTATATATATATATATATATATATATATATATATATATATATATATATATATATATATATATATATATATATACATACATATATATATATATATATATATATATATATATATATATATATATATATATATATATATATATATATATATATATATATATATATATATATATATATATATATATATATATATATACTATATATATATATATATGTATTTTTTTTTTTCGTCTTTTATTTTTATAGTTATTTTAAAGTAATTTTCAGGCTGAAGAAAAATATCTTATTGACATGGGACCTGTGGCGGGTTTTAGGGTGGGGCCATGGGGTAGTAGCCCCCCCCCCCCTTGGGACTTTTTTTCGGAAATTTGTCTTTTGTAAATTGACTATTATACAGATTTGGACTATTATACTGACGAATAAAATTGACTATTATATGTAATTATACGTATATGAACTTGATTATTACACTAAAGTACAAAAAGTTAGAAAAGAAAGTCACTTATAAATGAAAAAATGCGGACTTTTTTTATTTATTTAAGATCATTTTAGCCCCTCCTTGGCGAGTGACAAAATCCGCCCCTGCATGGGACAATGTAGTTTCAAATAGTTTTGAATAAATTTTTTTTTTTTAACAATGCAAAGCTTGCAAGAGTAAATAATAACAAAACAAATTTTATTCAATTCACTAAAATAAATTATAGTAGTTTAAATTCTATGTAAAAGTAACAAGAAAAAAGGAAATCGATACTTTCGCATTGAGATGTTTTGGTTATTTGATTTACTGTGTACCTTCGGAAGAATGAGAACGAGTAACTTCTAGAATAAAAGCATAAACAAAGCGCTATTGTTTGCTTGCAGACTATACGTTTCTTATGACTGCGTAATTTGAGCAATTGCTCCAAAAAATCGGAGTAAAAGCTCATTTTTATTCATGCATTGAATGCAAATCAGAACAGTATTTCGGAACGGAGGAAGTAATATTTTTCGCTTTTTTAATTTGCACGTGCCCGTCGAAAACAATTGTTTATGTTTACAAAAAAGTTTCGTTTATTTTTAAAAAAAGTTACTAAGTTTTATGCAACGTTTTAAATTTTTGACATTGATACGTTTGCATGACATGTTTGCATAATAAAAGCAAATCAAAATCTTGGTTTAAGTCATACTTTAATATGTTAAACTACCTATTGGTACATCTTATTTAAAGTCTAGCAAAAAGGAGATGGCTTTTGCCCATAGTAATAGAAACTTTTCAAATATACCATCAACTTTACAATATATCCAGCCTTTAAATTGCGTTATATCGCCGTCAGAAGAGATTGAATTTGAAATCATTGATAACCATTCCGGAAATAAATCAAACACATCTAATAACGATTATAAAGGTTTGTTTGTATAACATTTGCTATTTAGTGATGAGGAGCACAAATCCTTTTGAGCAAAACAGGTTTCTAAAAATTGTAAAGGTCTTTCCAAGAGTTTCACTTACTTGAATGTTTATAAGATATATATACTCAAGTAAAGCAAAGCTCTTTGAAAGATATATTAGATTTTATTTCAAAGAGTCTTTTAAATAAAGATATATATGTCCGGATAACTTGTTTTACTGTCACTTTCGATTGGCAAACCTGATATTGTGTCTAATTAAATTCAGTCTAATATTTTAGATAAATTTTAAGATTATTTTAGATATTTTGAGAGTAGTTTATTTTCAATTAGGATTACTAGCTTTACTTTCATTTTTAAGAGTGATTCCCCTTGTCTAGTTTGATGTTTTACACTGCTAGTTTATTGAACTCATCAATTTGACAATACAGTTTTTTCGTATTTGCATATGTTTGACCATCTCAGTCAAATCTAGTAAGTATATTTTATATATCATGTATTTATAATTTTTAATTTTATAAAAATATGTATGGTTTAATCATAGTTTAAAGCTCATTATATTTGACTTTTTATTTTTATAATCATAGTTGGATAAAATATGTAAAAAAAAGGTATGTTACCATTTTGCAACAGTGCATCTATGTGGTTATTTTCGTGTGCATTTGATTTTGTTGTTAAATGGCAACATACCATATATTATCTATTTGTTATTTATATATTTAAAGGTTTATTTATAAAATTGTTTCATAAATATTATATAGGTGTCAAACTTTGATATTTTCATTAAACTGACAATAATTTATACTTTGTTTTATAAATTTTTATAGATAAAATCACATTAATACTAATAGATAATACAACACTTGTAATTTTGTTGTTATAATAAAAAAAATTATAATTATGACAGTTTGTCTTGATATTTTTTTCTAGAATTTTTCTAAAACAATCATGTATCCATCAAGTTTTTATGGTAAACATTAAGATGTACTCATTCGTGCTATTCCTGAGGATTTCGATGAAAGAGAGTTATCTTTAGATGATGAGATAAATGAAACTTGGATATGGCAAACTTCTATATGGATATCAAAACTATTTACTCTAATTCAAAAAATTATATTATATTAAATATAATTTTTTATATTAATTATAATAATTAAATCAAAACTATTGACTCTATTGATACCTATTATATGAGTTAGATGAAACTTGGATATGACAAATTTTTAATAAACTTCTGGATATGGCAGTTGTTGTATGACATGGCTTGCCTACATAGCTGATTGTGCTAATGCAGATTTGGAGAAGAATAAAACACTTGCTTTTCTGAAACTTAAGACTCAATATGTCTCATAAAAGAATGAAAAATTGAGGTTAGTAAATGTGGTCATCCTTTATTAGAGATGGAGCCTCAGCTTGAAGCTAAAAAGCATCGAGGTCCTACAGCAGCTATTCCAGCCTTACCAATAAGAGCTGATTACATTGGCCATTTTCCTGAATAATGCATAAAATATTCATTCAGATAATTATTTTCTATGAAAACCTAAGTTGGTGTAATAGAGGTTAATACAGTATTTTAAATTATGAAAATGGAACGATTCTATAAAAAGTTATGATGTTTTTAGTAGCAAATTTTTGGTTTATAGATTTCTAGATAATACTGCGGTCAAAAAAAAAAAATGTTTTTCTACATAAGTTGTTATAACTTTGTCAATTTTTGTTCAAATATCTATAACTTGGTATCAAAAGATAGATCTAAAAATGGGCTATAATTTTATATAAGTTTCTAGATAAAAGGCACATTAAGGGATCCAGAGGGGGTGATAATCTACAACCTATAGCTTACAAAAATACAATTTTTTTTCATAAAAGAGCGTTTTTTATTTTTTTGAAAATGAAATTGGTAATATTTATATACAACAAGTTGTTATTTTTTTTATTCCAGGTCACTAGCAAATATTAGAGGTCTATCTGAGAGTTGGGTGTTGTGTTGCAAGAAAGGTTTAACACACCCTATCAAAAATTTTAAATATTTTAGTCTTTACAAAAATTATCAAATCTAGTATAAAAAGTAAAATATATGCTTCAACACTGTACATTGAAACAACTCTTCATCCTTCCTCCTAATTCGACCCATGGCAAAAACAGCAATTGCTGGTGGGTCCACGATGCTGGGACCTATATCTGCAATAGACCTGATATGTAAGCTCTAAATGATAGTGAACATTAGAAAGATTAGTACTGAATGGCATTATATAATATTTAATATAAACCAATTATCTGTAAAAGTGATTGACTGAATAAATAAAATAAGCAACTAATAAATCAATTATAGCTTTACAAATGTTAATACAAGTAAAAATTTAAATACTGCTATTGATTTAGAGATAACATAATACAAATATATTATATAGTGTATATGAATAGAAATATTATAAATTCAATAACCATTTGGTTGTGGAGCTAAAGGTAAAAAAAAGAATTGTAATAAAATTTAATTTTATTTACAATCGATAAGAAAAGCATACGCATGTTAGAAATAATAGTTTACACATGCATTTGTCATACACATATTGAAAGTAATAGTTTTTAAACTTTACATTTGTAGCAGCTGAAGACATAACTAAAGGTTAACAAAGTTGTAATAAGAAATAAATATTGTAATTGCTGAGAAATGCATAAACATATTAAAAATTAATAGTTTGTTAACATACCAGTTGCTGCAGATTTAAACATAATTAAGGTTAAAAAAGGTATAATAAAAAATAAGTATTGCAATTGATGTGAAATACATATATAAACAAAATTATATGTAATATGAAAAAAAAAATATATATATATATATATATATATGTATATATATATATATATATATATATATATATATATATATATATATATATATATATATATATATATATATATATATATAATGTATGATATATAATAGTTGTTAAACTTACCACTTGTTGCAGATGAAGGTGTAGCTAAAGTTAAAAAGTTGTTATAAAAAATATTGCATGTATGCTAAAGTTAAAAAATTATAAAAAATAAATATTGCAATTTGAAATTAGTATTAAATCTATTAACAGATTAAAAAGTACTAGCTTTTAAAATTAGTAGCCATAGCTAATGAAAAGTAACTGTTGAATAGAGTGAAAATAAAAAATAATATAAATTAAACCAAAACATACATGCTTACAAGTGTTATTCCATAATCAAAAGTTACAAACTATACAAAAGCTATATAAACTTACCAATAGTAGGCTGTGTAGATTGGATTAAAGATAACAAAATTTTTTTACAATTACATAAAATACAATGAAATTGTCAACAGTTGCACAAGTAACAATTGTCAAATTAGTTTTATGTAAAATGCAATAACTATGTTTAAAAAAATGAAATTAAACAATAAAAATATAAAGGAAATATATTTTTAAACAACACTAGAAATGTTTATATAGTTATGTAAACAATTAACAAAAATAAAGTAGTACACAATAAAAAACATTAATGTTTTTAAAGTATTTTAAAATACTTTAAATATTCTATTTACTAATTAACATTTATTTACTGTATGCTACTTTATCTTTGTGTTTAATGATTAACATGATTTTTTTATGAATAAATCTAAAAAATATGTGATTTATACTTACAAAATCCTAAAAAATCAACAAATTGTGTGCTAGGATCTAAACAAAAAGTAAATATTAGGCATACTTATATGAAGATTTAAACAAAAAATCCAAAAATAAAGAAGTTTGCAATCTGTAAATGATAAAATATAATATTGATAACAATATCTTTTATTATATTTGAAAAACATGAACAAGTTTTTTGTTAAGAGCAAACCAATTGCGAATGTGATTTGTATAACTTATATGTTTTAAAATTAGTTAATTTTAATAACTTGATTGACAATAAATTCAAAAGAAAAAGTTTTAATTGAAACATTAGTCTTTTTTTATACATTACATATAAAAAAAGATTAGGGTTTTATATTTATCATTATTGTTTTTGTTGTAGAAATAGTTGTTAATAATAGTATTATATAAAAAAAAAAAAGATTAAACTCACTATCTGCTAGAAAATCCAATAAAAATTTTTTTTTTTTTTTTTTCATTTTAATATAAATCTAATATTAAAAATCAAAATAATATATTATTGCAATAATTTTTGTTTGTAGAATTGGCCCCTTGATTAACCCCTGTACTTCGCTTTCCGAAAAAAACAACAACAGAAAAACCGAAATTAGGTCCCAAAAATGCTACACTAATTAAACTATCTGCTCCTATTTATGTTTTGTTAAAATTTGGCATACACACAGGGTTGCAAAAAAAACGTTTTTTTTAAAAAAAACCAAAAACCATAGGTTTTTTTAAAAAAACCAAAAAAACCATGGTTGTATAAATTAGGTTTTTACTAAAAAATGCGGTATTTAGTTATCCTTTTAAATTAAAAAAAGCATAAAGTATTTTATTTGAGTAATCTATATTCTTAATCAATATTATTGTTATATTTCATCAAAATTATTCAATATATCATTGTTTAATGTTCTATATATAAGTACAAGCTTTGCTGCTTTTCCTAACCCCAATTGGTTTCTTAACTAAGAATGAACAAGACCAAAAGTTGATAAAATTCTTTCAATTCCAGCACTAGAAGCTGGTGCATTTAATAAACCTTCAATATCCATTATGTTATAGTAGATTTAGCTTTTAATTTGAATAATATTGGTAACAAATTCTTGAACTCTTTATCTGCGAAATTCATGGCAACATCATTTTCTAATCAGAAAGATTAGATCTAAAATATCTAGGATCTAGTATATTTACCAGGAAATGATCATCACTGACAGTCTGAAGCTATCTAGATTCAATTTTTTTTTTTTTGATAAAAATGATAAACTGTTCATCAAATCTTTAATAATTTCAAGAGTCACTTATTTTTGTTTGATCTCTTTGCAACTTGTCTAGAGCTACTGCAATTGGTTTTTCAATAAATCTTCTGTGTTTCACTTTATCTGTATATCACTTACTTTTTTACTAATCATGGGATTCAAGTCTTTATTTTTTTCAAACATTGTGAAAATAATGCTCCAGTTGTTGACATTTTTCACATGAATCACATACAGAATTCCAGCAAGTTTCAGTAGGAAGTGGCAATTTTGTTCCTCTGCTTAATTTATAAATTGCTCCAGCTTGATGATTATTTCTTATATATTTTATTATTTGTGTAATATGCTTGTTCACATTTTCAATGTTCAGATCATTTGCCAAAATATTCAGCATATGAGCAGCACACCCATAAGTTATGATAATATCTTTTCCAGATGACAATACTTGTTTCATTAATTTCATATTAGCTGCTTTGTCAGTCACAAAGCTTTTTACTGTACATCTAAATTTACGTCTTACAAAATCTATTGCTTCTCTTGCTAATTGTGTAAGATATTCACCAGTACGTGAATGACCAGAAGTGTTGATTGTTTCTAAAATGTTAATTTTATCTGTAATTACAGAGATACAAACTATAGGTTCACAATGTACATTACTCCAGCCATCTAAAGACATGGCTGCAATTTTGCCATTCAATACATTACATTTTTCAATTTCTTCTGTGTAAACCCTATCTAATATTTCTCCTCCAATTTCAGTTCTATTAGGTAGAGTGTATCCTGGATAAAGCATAATGATAAATTTAAAAAAAAAAACAAAAAAAAAATCATATTGAAGATTAGTTATATTAGTCAACATAACCCTGTCTTAGTTTCCTGTTGTAAGTTCAAATCTTTTTAAAAAAACATGAGTTTGGTTTAAACCAATATTTTTTTAATTGGTTTAAACCATGATTTAAACCAATAGTTTAAACCATTTGGTTAGAATCATGCAACCCTGCATACACATGCCAAATTTTAAGAAAATACATGTAGAAAGTTATCTGAATAATAAAAAGAGGTGGCTCAACACTTCTTCAACTACCAATGTTTTAAGTTCGTGTTGCAGATATGTAGAAAGATTTTGTACCAAGTGATGTTCTTGCTCGACGATGTACAAGTTGGCAACTGTCTAAAAATCTTGTGTTGGGGAGGTGAGAGATATGAATTTTTAAAAGACTTCAAACTGACATCATACTGAGATAGCCTGCTGCCAGGGGCTTCAGTACATACATCGACAATAGTTTGAATCAAAGTGGAGTGTTGCTCCATCGACTGAGGGTTTATGATGGGGCAGTAATCTTTTCATTCATTACTTTCATATGATTCCTCTTTTTCTAAAAAAGCCGTATCGATTTAGATAAGCAAAAAAAGTGAGCAATCACTCACATAAATATGTTATATATATATATATATATATATATATATATATATATATATATATATATATATATATATATATATATATATATATAATGTTATGTGTTCTACAAATAGAATGCTTGATGTTCTTAAAGAACAGTGCAATAATAAATTAGTAAAAATGTTGTAAAACTGAACGTTGTTAATTCCCCTAAAAAACATGGCTTTGAAATTTTATAGTGCTTGAATCAGATTTAAAGGTTCCACTTTTATTTTTAAACAATAGAAATTATCTTATATATATAATTTTTTATTGTAACATACAGAACTTATAAAAAGTTTTTTTTTTCCCCAGGGTTTTATTTAGTTTTCTTGGTTTTTGTATGGGTATTAACATTTTATGTCTTGTTTGATGTGTGTAGATCTTTTCAGAAACACTATTAACATCTTTGACAGCTCTTTCTACCTCTAAGATGGGGGGTTGGGTAGGGGAGCTACTGTCAAAGATGTTGGTGAGGCAGGAGGGAAAAAGGAAAGGAGGTAGTTTTAATGTTAGAGTCTATCAAAGAAATGTAGTTATCAGCTAGAAATCTAATTTGTTAGGTTAACAAAATAATCTCTGTCTAAGTTTAAAAAAGCTTTCTTTCTTGCAGAAATTATAATTTCAGCTGCCTGTTTTCTAATTTTGTTTTTGGTGTCTGCCAATTCTTTTTAATCTCAAACAATGATGAAAAATTGTCACAGTGTAATCAACCAAGAGGATAAGATAATTTGTTGGATTTTCTTGTGACATAAACTAACCAAAGCCTCTATTAGCTTTTGTTAGTGATCTGGCATATTGCATAATTACAGGCTCTGCATTTCTCATGTACAGTTGTTTATGTACTTTTTTTTTTTTTTACATCAGCTTGTGAAAAAACCTGAAAACTATTTTGAACTATTATACAAGCACAAAATAAATATTTTTGATTCTTGCTGAGTTTTTAAACTAAGTTCTCAGCTAATGGTGCAACTAACCCCTGATTGTCCCAAAAGGATAATTGTGATAAATGTCTGTTCTATTACCAGGAAAACAACCATAGCATTACGATTTTCTTTTTCAAACTTCATTTTTTTTTTATAATTAAGATATTTCTCTACTCTAGTTTTAAAAACTTTCTTATCAAATCCAATCCAAGTAACAATCAACTAATCTTGTGAGTGTGTTTCAATATTTTTATACTTTTAAAAATCTTTAAAACTACTTTCTTTAAAATATTGTTTGTTCTAAGATGTTATGAGCATTTTTAAGTCCTTTAGTAGAGCTAGTAATTAATTGACAAGGGGTACTTACAGAGGTACGTACTTTACAGTAGGGGTTTGTTGAAAGCATCACAGCAAATACAAGAGGGAGGGGTCCTAAATTAGTAGTTTTGCTGCATATATTCTTTATGGATCTCCCCAAGCATGCCTACAGGGTGTTAACTAGTCTAATGGCACCGCTTATACCTTGGAATTCCCAAGGGGTTTTAAATTCCGAAAATTCAATGACCTTTTTTATTAAAGTAGTAGGACAATATCAATAAAAATTCCCAATATTTTGTAGAACAATAACAATAACAATAAGTATTATCAATATCGCAAAAACACGGTAGAAAATATATTCCTAGCTAACACCCTGGCCTATTTGATATACCAGTGCATTTTTGACATATTTAAAAAAGCTTTAGAAAGCTGATGTTACACTAAAATTATTTTAAACACTTTCTACTTTGTTTGTAACTTCTTGATTACCTTTTTGTCTATATTACCAATTATCAATTTCCTTAATCCTTATTGATCAAATGAAAAATCTTGTTCTAATAATGGAATGTTGAATATCAACACTCCATTCGTAAACATTGACATTGTTTACGATCTCTGTTTTTATAATATAGAACTTGATAGTTTGATAAAAATACTGTCGATAGCAATAGTTGGTATACTAGCTTTTTCCAAACAGATATAATACTTGATTTTTTAATTAAGCAAACTGATATACCAAGTGAATTCTTTCCAAAATAAGTTTAATCAAAAAGCGTCAGTCTTTATTGGAAGCATGTTCTTTGGTATGCTGTAAGGTGCTCCAATATATATTGTTATGTGAGTTTTTTCTTCTTGACATTTTATACCTAAAAGTAGTCATCAGAACACCTCTAAGGATATGAATTTATATGAAAAACAACATAATTATCAAAAGCAGTAGATTTATGCAAAATACAAATAGTATAAACAGTTCTCTGTTTAAAGTTCTTTGTTTAGGGAGCCCTAAATCATTCTCATATTTATATTATTTTTATTATTAGTATTATGATTGATAACTACTCATATATTTTAGGATAATAAAAGTTATGCACTAATAACAAAAATGTATCAACCCAATCATAAATATATATATATATATATATATATATATATATATATATATATATATATATATATATATATATATATATATATATATATATATAGTATATATATATATATATATATATATATATATATATATATATATATATATATGTATATATATATATATATATATATATTTATAGAGGTTATTCAGGATTTAACTGTATCACAGAACTTTTATAAACCTCTTATTTCATTATGGAAATTGTTGTTACAAACACCTCTAAACTACAAACATTTTTTGGAGCTGCGAGTTGTAATGTTAAAAGAAGGAGTACTGAAGTTTATTATTAATCTTTTGGAAGATTTGGAAACTAGTAAAAAAAAAAATTCAAAGCCAACTGAACAATGGTGAATATTTAATTTTTTAAATTATTGTTTTTGTCTTCATTATTTTGTGACATTATTTACTACATTGTTTATTACATTATATTTCTATATTTTTTTTATTATGATGTTTATATTTTATCTGAAAAAGTTAGTTTTACCTTTTGGTGATAAAAAAGGGCATGTTTATTTTAAAGTAATTACTTTTCTGTTGTTTCTTTTAATTTCCTTAACCTATTGATATATGCAATAATTAACTAGATAATAGATAATAGATAAGGCTACAGCTAGTTGTATGGTTAGAGTCATGTATGTTGTCATGGTAGAGTATTCTTTTCATACTATATTTTTGTTAGCATTTAGAGTTGGTCAATTCGTTTCTATTGTTTTTGTTATTTTAAAATATTTTATAATGAGGATTTGACAATTTCTTTTGTTTTACAAAACGAAGTTTACATTTTAAATTGATTTTTGAATATAACTGGGCTAACTGTGATTCTTTTGAGATTTTAGATAATGCCACAACCATTCACAAATTAAAGGTAAAAGAAGCCCTCCACATTAAATGGGAAAGTCCTTTACTTAATTAACAAACTTTACATTATGCTATGAACTTATCTATTTAATTTTACTGTCAGTTTATTATTAATAATTTTTTTTTAACAGTTAGTTTTTTTGATTAGTTATTTACTAAGTTATTTTGTAAAAAGTATATTGGTTCATTATGTAAATTTTTGTTCGTTATTATTTCTTTGTAAAGACTTCTATCTTTTGATATTTATTTCAGAGTTTTAATATTGTAAAATAATCTTTTGAAAATGTAAATAAATTTTAAGAAACATGTCAAGAATAAAAAACATGTTTTTTTAAATGTTATTTTTATAAAATTAATTTTTTCTTTTATCTTACTGCTTAACAAAGCAATTTAAAAGTTAAAAAAATATCAAAAGTCACTTCATGGAAATCAAAGTTCAACACAACAACGCTCAAGCCGTACATAATTCGTACATAAATTGGCGGCAGCTTAACGCTTTAAAATAAGGCCTGTAGTTGGTGACTAAGCTAACACTACATTATAGTTCAGGCAGAGCACAAACATACATATAGCATGCATTGTTCCGTCACCATCTTATGTTAGTTGAATTACCACCTATTGCTTTTAAGCTTTTATCAATGCCACACATTTTCAAAAATTTATTTGATAGGAAATTATTTCTGCCTGTTTTATATGTTTTTGAACATTTTCAGATCTCTTTGATATTCCTGTTACAATCTTACAATAGTACTCTTCAGAATTTTTTTTATTACTATCTAAACTATTTCACAAGGGCTTAACTAAATATTGTTTTCCTGCCTGCTAGAAATAGTATTCTGTGGTTTCAATATTTAAAACATTGATCGCTCTGACCCTCTACCCATCAGTAATATCATATTATTGCAAAAAATAATCATTATTATGCAAATTATGCAAAGTCTTCAAATTAACAATTATCTTAAGTCTAACAACTTATTCTGTGACAATTAATATGGAGCCATAAGGTTATCGCTGTTGCTCTTTTATGGGCTTTCAATAAAGCTTGGTGTGCTAGTTTTCTCCCTAAGCTTGCTTTATATGTTGTATTTAGAAAAGTTTTCAAAAATATTGCATCATTTCTTTAAGATTGCATAATTTCTTTTTAGCCGTGGTATTAAAGTTGTTGTTGATGGACCTTTATTTCCAGTAACTTCTGGAGTACCAAAAGACCGCATCTATGGTCCTGTGTTGCTCCTCATCTATATAAATCATCTTGCTGATAACCTTATCTTTATTTTATTTGTTGATGACAAAACTAAATATTTCCTTCTTGACAAAAAGTTATCATTTTTTGATCATTTAGAACTCAAGTTCCTTCTTTTCTATTACAGATTGGGGCATGTTGATTGGGGCTATATTTGCTGTTGAATTTTATTGCTAACAAAACTTTTTTTTAAACTAATTTGGGTATATAGTTTGGGCATGTAGTTGCTGTTGAATTTTATTGCAAACAAAACTCGGTTGTTCACTGTTATTGGTAACAATAATTCTAGTCTTCTTATTCAAATCCTCGAGTCTTTTTATAAAAACAAAACTCAATCTTATGTTTCTTGTCATTCAGCAATTTTGCATATCTTTACTGTAACCATTTCTTTATGCTCAAAAAATTTATCTTTTTTTTTTCTGAACATTGGTGTTGAACTTTGATGCTTCAGAGTTCTCTCCTATCTTTATGTTTTCCTGACTCGTGCAATTAACAGTTTTTCAAGTCTTCTGCTTTCTTGCTTATTATGACGAGTGGCAGGGTTAGCATTAAAAAACCCGCCAAATAAAACCCACCCAATAAAACCCGCCTAAAAGAACCCAATAAAACCTGGGAAAATCTGGGTTTTATTGGGTTTTTTTAAAGATATTTAATAAGTTTATGAACTATAATAACCAACTTTAACATTACAACTATAATATTATTAACTAAAATAATTATTAACTATTATTATTAACTGAATTATTATTAACTATTATTATTAACTATTATAACCAACAATAACAGCTATCAGAGCAGGTTTACTAATATTTAAATCATTATTTGGAAATACATGATTATAATTTTTATTCAAATATTTTTATCGATTGAGATTTTTTATTCTTTTATGTTATTCACCTCCCAAGTTGAATTTAAATGAGTAGTAGTGGCTAGAGAAGCCCACAACAGTCGAGGAGGCTACCTTATTGTGGTTACAACCCTCTCTCAACTCTTTAACTTCTAAACACGAATCTTTCTAAACAAGGCCGCTGCGCTGAGAAACAAGTTTGTTCATTTGAATTTCAAGTTCAAATTTTAATTGAAACTTCAGTTACTACCTCCCATTCTCGCAATTGAAACTTCAGTTACTACCTCCCATTCTCTAGTTTTCTTTTTCCCATTTCTCTTTGACATTTTTAATTATATAGAATAATTCTTTTAAATTTAAAATAAATCAATACATATAGACTTAATGTGAATTTTTTTTTTTCTATTACAGTTTTAAATTATTTTTAAAAATATTTTTCAAAATAATTTGAAAAATTCTTGTTATAAATTAATAAATAACAATATATAAAATATATTTTAAATAAAGTTAAATTAGAAAATGAAACTAATTTTCAATATCATTAAACAAAAAAACAAAAAAATTTTTTACAGAGACAAAATAAAAATAAAAACCTTGCATCATTTAGATGCTCATTTTCAAAACATAAGATCATCAAAATGTACCTACATTAGGGTGGTTCTAAAAACAACATTTTTTGAAAATGTCACCCCCTAAATATATTCATTGTAATAAATTAATACTACATTGAATAAATTTTTTAGGGGTCGCTCAAGACCCTTAAACATCAGATGGGTCCCAAATATTTTGAAAAAAAAAGTTATTTAAAAGCATATCATGTTGGGTCTCATAAGAAATGAAATTTTATAAATATTTTTCATTTTTAAAATATTAGGGACCTGTCTGATGTTTAAGACTCTTGAGCAACTACTTAAAATTTTTTTTATTCAAAAATTTTTTAAATGTAGTATTAATTTATTACATAAAACATGTTTAAATGGGTGCCATCAGACATTATCAAAAAGTGTTGTTTTTAGAACCACCCTAACCTACGATTTCTTAAGATTGACTTTCTAGATTAGCTTTATTCGCATTAAAAAATAATGACAAAGAAAAACATCATTACTAATTTTGCAAATTTGAAATTTTTTTTTTCTATTTGAATTTGCCTCCTCAAGGCCATGATAATCACTACAGTTAAGGGGGCTAATTTAGTTATGGTTGCAATTATTTCTCAACTCTATAACTCCAAAAAACAAACCTTGATTAACAAGGTCGCTGTGCTTAGAAACAAGGTTTTCCACTAATTTATATATATATATATATATATATATATATATATATATATATATATATATATATATATATATATATATATATATATATATATATATATATATATATATATATATATATATATATATATATTAACATCTTCACTCCCAATAAGGCTGCAAGCAACCACTATCAGAGTCTGTAATTACTGGAAGAGAAATGATGAAGTTTATAGAGCAAGATAACAATTAACAGACGACTTAAAAGATTGCAAATTGTAAAAATCAGGAAAACAAGATGAAGGGAGCAAATTCGAAAGACCTGATATTTGAGGAAAAAACTAGATTAAAAGTTTTGAAATACTTAGGAATAGTCACAGTAAAAGGATGAGACTTGATTGAATAACAAATAACACAAGAATAAATTTTAGTAGATGTCACAAGAGATGCTAGCTCTTTAGAGCAGTGTCCATAGTAGTATTTGTAGAAAAGAGAAAGAGAAGCAACATTACGTCGATGTGATAATGGTTGGAGGTTGGCTGTGAAAGCAGGTCCAACGATGTTTACAATGTTTTTTTGCACTGGTAACAGTATTCCATACAAAGACAGATTTGAACTTTGCAGAGATAAAGAATAGAATCCTGAGTAAGCAAGTGGCAAACACAATAAAGAGATGCAACCATAGCAGATGCTAATTTTGAAATGGGTTTGATAGATGGTTTCCAAGAAAGATCGGAAGTAAGAGTTAGTCCTAGAAGATGAAGAGTAGACGACTCATCGAGTACATTACCAATCATAGATGTAGGAAGATCTAGATTGTTGCTATATTGATTGACTGAAAATTTTTGCTATATTGATTGACTGAAAAAAATTGAGTTTTATTTGAGTTAAAATTCACCAGCAACTGAGAGCCCCATGCTTAGCAGAAGTGAGATTCTCTTCAAGCTCAAAAGCCCCCCTCTAAGCAATCAGACAGTGTTGTCTTATCAAGACAAGAATAAGTGGTAGTATCATCAGCAAACAATGTCACCTTGTTTGTGAGATATTTTGGGAAATTGTTAATGTAAATTAAAAAGAGTATAGGGCTAAGCGTAGAACCTTGAGAAAACCAGAGAAGTTACAGGGTATAAAGGAGAGTGCTGTCCA